AGAGCCGAGGGCCCATGAGGCCACACAACGTGACCTCGCACGGTGCCGAAAGTCACCACAGCATCGTCGGTAACGTTGCTGGGGAGCTCGGTGAAAAGCAGATCCTGCCCGGATGCATCCATGTCGATCAAAACGACATTTAGCTGACGTCGTCCGGCACCCCCGCGCTGCCCAGCGAACGCCACGACAGCCTCCAGATATGGGCCCCATAGGTCAGGAAAACCAGCGCCCTCAGCCGCTTGCAAAGCCTCTAGGGGAGCAGCGTCAGCAGGAAGACACAGGATGAAGCCCGTAGAGACAGACTGCACAACGAGAGCGTGCGCGGCGACCTCCTCGTGAACGAAGAACAACTGAGTGTAGCCACCGCCCTGCTGAGCAGTGGCAATCTCTTGCAGTGATACCACCATACGTTTCTGGACAGTGCAGCAGCAGGTGAAGAAGAACCGGTCGAGGTGGAGACTTCTGGCAATTGCGGCTCACTCCGGGCAGTCACGCAGCGTAGCGCCTTAGCCGGTTACCTGCAGGCAAACTGCGTACAGGCGTTTGCTCCGAGAGAACTGCCAGGAAAGCCACCCACACTGAGTGCCTGAGTCTGGGTGACAGCGCAAAAGCAGTCGCCACGGAACCAGTGGCAAGTCCGCAAAGCCAAGCCAGCAAACCGATCAGCAGCAGATCTGTAGTCCGTGCAGGGCACACAACGGATTGCAGCAGTGAGGGAAGCAAGGCTAGTTGGCTCCACATGGACCGAAAAAAACTGTGGCAACATGCAATGCGAGCTGAATCCATGCTTGTCATTTTATTGTTGTCGTTTTTATATAAATAAATATTAAAACTTTTATATTCTTTATATTGTTATTTTTTAAATAAAACTACTGTATTACATTAATAAAAAGAACAATTATATATATATATATTGATTAAATAATATATTATATTCGTAATATTTTTCGTAGTGAAAATATTGTGGGAAGTAGCTCATACAATTTAAGAACAAGTAATGGAATGCATGTTTTAGGACAACATTATAAAACCCAAATTAAAAGATATTATTCTTGTTCCTACACTGAAAACAGGTGGATTTTTACATTAGCAATAAAATAGTTAAATAAACATAATAAAAATATTAACTGGAAAGAACAAAAAATAAAATATTGGATTGGTTGGAACAATACCAGATGAATTGATTAATGTAAATTTATTAGAAAATACAATAAAATTAGTTATTTTTTTAGTGGAAAATGATTAATTTTTCTTATAAATTGTTTTTTTTTTGATAAAACTACTGTATCAATAATTTTATATTCAGTATATACACGTTCAACAAATTTTGATTTTCTGTATATTCTAAATTTTCTGTCTCTTCATCATTATCAATTAAATTTTCTATATGTAACCACATATAATCATTAGCTTTTAAGAAAGAAACAGTTTTATGTTCATGATCAAAATCAAAAATAAAAAAAATTAAATCTTCAATCTCGTATTTGTTTTTTGACATATAATAATTACTTGTATTATCACCACAAGAAAAATTTGTTAAATAATATTCTTCTATATGCATATCATCTTTTTTAAAAAAAGTTTCAACGTGATATACATGCTCGTAATATGGCATATATATATATATAGATATATATTATTTTTCTTCTTTTCTTTTTTAGTAAAATATTCCTTAAATTCTTCATCATTTTGAGATAATGTGAAATTTTTACTGGAAGAACAGTATACAATTGATATACCAAGCCTTGTCACCATTTGAAAACGTTCTTTCTATCGTATATAGGATATTAGTATAATTATCTAAAATATCTCTTGCAAAAAACGAGGCCATGATATTTCAAGGCTTGAGCCAAAATGGCTACGGTGATATGTATTATTGTTAAACAATAGCATGTATAATATTTTTCATTTTTTTATAATCTTAATAAATGCATGTATTTTTCTTTTAAATAATCAATTAGTTCATTATTGTAAATATAACAATACTTTTCAATTGATGCATAGAAATTTGATTTATTTTTTAAAGAAAGTACAATTGAATCGATTAATGAAAAATATGTAAAATAAATATTATTGAAGAATAATGATTATGTTTTTAATTAAAAAATAAAAATACATATTTTTATTTTTCGGGATTTCTTCTAATCTTTCAAAAGAGCGAACGAAAAGATTCCTGGTGCACCTGGTCTATGAAATGCAACGACGTCGCGAATGTAGTCACATTGATCAAATATTTTTTCATCTGGAGGTGATACAGTGAGAACCCTACCTTCTTTCACAAGATCCCAGCAAACATTCCCTGTTTTGCTAATTCTCTCTGTTGCCTCACGACACAAGTAACTGTATTCGCCATCCGACGGAAGCACTGTCACAAGCATAATCAATTTACCAGGTGGAATGAGTTGTTCCTGTCCATTGAACATGCTTAATTCCACTGCAAACTGACTGTCATGTGGACAAAAAGAAACGAAGCTGCATTTTAACAAAACTGTGTTTTGTTGGGCACCAGTACCATTGAGTTTCCCTTCCAACCTCGCATGGACCCCCAGTAATTACCTCGGAGGTTCTGTCTTTGTGAGGACGACGAGCTGTGAAATCATGAAAAGCCCGCAACATAGTTGCGGTGCAAAGTTTTGTGATTCACAACGATCTTGAGCCAAAATGGCTACGGTAAAAGTTAAAAATTAATGAACATATACTATATTTTCATTTTTCTAAATTTAATTCATCGTTCTTTATATAAGGTATTATCTCATAATTTATATAAATTATCAATTTTATTGATAACTTATTTTAAATATTAAAGTTAATATCTTATCAATGGTAAAATATAATTTGGTATTCTATCTTTAAAACGTGCAGAATTTATTTCATCTTCTAAATCTTTTTCATCTATTATATCAGTTTGTAATGTATCGCCAAATGTTAAAGCATTTTTTAATATCATAATTAATTTTTAAATATTTGGTTAAATCATTTATCATAATCAATTGATTTTTGATAATTTTCTTCAATATTCTAAATCACACCATCGCAATCAAAAATATAAATATTTAAATATTTATAATTGAATTGTACATATTTAGATTGTATATTAGACATTATTATTAATATATTTTTTCTGTTCCCACGCTTAATTCATTAATATAACTTGTATCAGATACAAATAAAATATCACTCGTTGCTGTATTTAAATACATTTCAGATCATTCATAATAGTCATAAGTCATCATTATCCTTCACATTAATTCCTTGACGACGTCACCCCAGCCCAGCCCAGCCCAGCCCAGCCCAGCCCACCCCACCCCCCACCCCACCCCCACCCCCACCCCACACCCCACCCCACCCCACACCCCACCCCACACCCCAGCCCCACCCCCCACCCCACCCCACACCCCACCCCACACCCCACCCCACACCCCACCCCACACCCCACCCCACACCCCACCCCACACCCCACCCCACACCCCACCCCACACCCCACCCCACCCCACACCCCACCCCACACCCCACCCCACACCCCACCCCACACCCCACCCCACACCCCACCCCACACCCCACCCCACACCCCACCCCACCACACCCCACCCCAAACCCCACCCCACACCCCACCACCACCCCACACCCCACCCCCACACACCCCACACACCCCACCCCACACCCCACCCCACACCCCACACCCACACACCACCCCCCCACACCCACACCACACCCCACACCCCACACCCCACCCCACCCCACCCACCCCACCCCACCCCACCCACCCCACCCCACCCCACCACCCACCCCCCACCCCACCCCACCCAACCCCCACCCCCACCCCACCCCACCCACCCCCACCCCACCCCACCCCACCCCCCCCCCACCCCCACCCCACCCCACCCCCCACCCCACCCCCACCCCAAACCCCACCCCACCCCCCCCCACCCACCCACCCCACCCACCCCCACCCCCACCCCACCCCACCCCACCCCACCCCACCCCACCCCACCCCACCCCCACCCCACCCCACCCCACCCCCACCCCACCCCACCCCACCCCACCCCCCCACCCACCCCACCCCACCCCACCCACCCCACCCCACCCCACCCCAGCCCACCCCAGCCCAGCCCAGCCCAGCCCAGCCCAGCCCAGCCCCCCCCCACCCAAAGCCGGTTGAAAGGGATCTCGCAAATGATTGGTAGTCCACAAGTAGTGGGTTGGTAAAGGCAAGACCGCTTGGGGACTTGAGGCTATTAGTCACTCGGATGTGGCGGTCAAAAATAGGTACCCAAAATGGAACCCTGGTAAGTGGAAACATGGACCAAAACCTGCGGTCCCCTGGTGGTTTGATTTTGACCCATTCCCGGCTGGGCTGTGGTTTTCAACAACAAAACCCAACATGGCTTGCCCTGGATGGAAACACTGACATTCAAACCTGGGGTCCAGTTCCTGGTGGTTTCATTTTGACCCATACCCATACTGGTGGTTGCGAAATCCTACACCTAAGAATCTCTGGCATGATGATTCCCCAACAGCTGAAAGCTTTGGGGTCTCAGCCCAGATAGGCTCCGGGGTGGTCCGGGGCGGCCCTGCGGTAAGGTTCCACGAGGGTTCCACCAGAGTTCCACGAGGGTTCCACGAGGGTTCCACGACGTTCTGCGATGGTGCGAGCATTAAAAAGAGCGCCGCACGCTGTTGGGGATATCACCTGAGCTTGTTTTGCTGTAGACACCAACGAACAATATCATCTCTGCTCTTGGTACCCCCCCAAGCGAAAACGAAACAGAACCAACAAACTAAGAAACAAAAACAAAACACATGCCGAGAACCGTGAAAATACCTCCATTTGCTTGAGTCCCCTGGACAGAAAAGTAACAAAATATGTCCCGCAGTGAACTCGATTCCCTTTAAAACCAAGAGGGGAAACTGAAAAAAATGTCTTAACCAAACGGAAACATATGGCTTGCTCCAAGCCGGACCCCACTTCGCCCGGCCAAAGTCCCAAAGCCCCAAAGCGCCTTGGCTTCGTTGGCGCTGTCCAGCTCCTCCTGCGCACGCGGAGAAGCCCTTCCGCGGGCAGTGCCGTCTGGCTTTGGCTCAAGATTCAAGAGCTAGGGTTACGCAGGCAGGTTTTAGTCTTTGGTTCCAGGTACCAAGGTGCCATTTTGGTACATGGTTGCGCAGCAAGGCTTCCAATGAGGGGCTTCTGGACACAAGGCGCAGCCTTTGCACAAATACTAGATATACATATGTATATATATATATATATGTAAATATATATATATGTAACATATTGTATATATATATATATACAAACATAATGAATGGACAACATATTTAAACATATATATTGTCCTGCAACGACATTTGATGCTGGTGAGGTGTCATCCCATTTCCTGTTGGCATTTCGGCGAGGCTCCGTTTGCCCAGCCCGGGTACAAAAAGAGCGCCGGCTCTGTGCTTTGCACAGGTTCTGTCGGCAGTCTGTGTTCAAATGCGGGGGCTGTCAATGTCAAAATATAAAACCTTGTTGTACCCTGGCGCTGTGCCGCCTGTTGGGCCCAAATTGTCAAGCCCTCAAGTCTCGCTTCAGGAACAGGCACAAACCGGCCTGACGACAACCCTATAGCAATCGTCCACCAGTGTGCCAGCTAACGCGCCACCCTAAACCGACCCACCAGACCTAAACAACCCAGGAGACAAGCAAGCACAGCAAGCAAGCAAGCAAGCAAGCAAGCAAGCAAGCAAGCAAGCAAGCAAGCAAGCAAGCAAGCAAGCAAGCAAGCAAGCAAGCAAGCAAGCAAGCAAGCAAGCAAAGAAAGCAAAGAAAGCAAAGAAAGCAAAGAAAGCAAAGAAAGCAAAGAAAGCAAAGAAAGCAAAGAAAGCAAAGAAAGCCAAGCCAAGCCAAGCAGAGCCAAGCCAAGCCAAGCAAAGGCAAGCCAAGCCGAGCAAGCCAAGGCCAAGCGTGCCAAGCAAGCCAAGCAAGGCAAGCCAAGCTAAGCAAGGCAAGCCAGACAAGGAAGCAAGCCGAGCAAGCCAAGGCCAAGCGTGCCAAGCAAGCCAAGCAAGGCAAGCAAAGCCAAGCAAGGCAAGCCAGGCCAAGCGAAGGAAGCAAGCCGAGCAAGCCAAGGCCAAGCGTGCCAAGCAAGCCAAGCAAGGCAAGCAAGCCAAGCAAGGCAAGCAAGCCAAGCAAGGCAAGCAAGCCAAGCAAGGCAAGCAAGCCAAGCAAGGCAAGCAAGCCAAGCAAGGAAGCAGGCAAGCAAAGCAAGAAGCCAGCAATGCAAGCAAAGCAGGCAGAGAAAGCAACGAAACCGAAGCAAAGCAAAGCAACCAACCAAGCAACCAGGCAAGCAAGCATCCAGCCAGCCTGCCAACCAACCAACCTATCCAGTGTCACAGCTGAAGCCCCAAACGAAAAAGGACTTGGAGGGTGCTCAGCTCGGAGACAGTTTCGGAGTCTTGACAAAGCTGACCCCAACCATGGGAAACAGTCTGTTTCGGTTTGTGGGAAACAGCCAGTTTCGCAAATAGTTCCTTCTAGAAACCAGAACTCTGAAATAAACAAGCCCATGGTTGTCCTAAGAAACAAATGTTCCAAGAGAAAGCCACGGCTTTCTCGCCAATTTGCCGAAATCCGCCCTGAACAAAATCCGCGAGCTCACGTCAACCGCCCACCTCCAGGTCCCCTAGCTTGGAGCGCAGCGCCTGCGCCGTGGGCGGTTCTGGGCGGAAAACGTTGGGGAAGTTCCGAAGGGAAAGCGAGGCGGTCGAGACCATCAGTAGAAAAGAACATGGTTTGCCAATGTGGGGTAGGGGCAAAAGGCGCAAAATGGAGGGGGGGGGCCTTGAGGCTGGACTTGGCAATGTCTCTGATGTCCCGACTCCAAGTCCCGACTCCAAGCCCTAGGGTTCCTTGCCAATTAAAAGAAAGGCAAGGACCCAATTTGGATGATAACAATCCTTAGGACAGCAATGGTGGGTATATAAACCCCCACTGTTTCCAGGGTCTTAGAATGGGGGCCCCCACAAATGGCGGTTTTCCTCTTGTTCCCCTCTACCACCCCGCGAAGGCCCTCAGATGAAGGAACCACATGGACCGTCCATTTCTTCCCAATGTCCATTCCCGACCTTGAGGGTGCTCGCATCCGCCATGAGGCTGGCGCAAAAAGTTGTGGTCCAAATGCCTGTAGCTTCGTGTGACATGGGTTCCTCATAGCTTCGGGAGGCAACTGCCGGTTTCGGCCATAGCATGTCCCCAAACTGGATCAGCCTCACGGCATTCTTTCTATGCCCGGGGATTCAAAACCTGCTCCGCCCCTTTCGGCAAAGGTGAACCTTTCACGGGCTGAGACGGCAAAACCCACCCAAAGCTAGAGCCCAAAAGATCCGCCTATGTTTTCACACCCTGAGGCTTATTTGGCTCATTGGCGCTGGCGGCGATGTTTCGAGCCAGAAGCTGCCAATAAACTCGAGAGCCGAAGCGGATGCAAAGCTTGGGAGGGAAGGGGCCCGAGAATGTCTCGCCAGCGTCATATGGCTGTGGGTCAAAAGGGTCAAAATTAAACCACCATGGGTCCACAGGTTTAATCCATGTTTCCATTTACCAGGGTTCCCATTTTGGGTACATATTCTTGACCCACTGCCATATGGTGTTGGTTCAGAAAAGTGGTCGCTGATTTCCGCAGCTCGATCCTTGCAAATCCATGTCGGTGATGAGCAGAGTCTCCGAAAGGGCAAGCATCTGTCACTCGACCAGGATGTGTTGATCCCCTCCACACCTCCCAGAGATGAAGGATTCTCGGCAAATGACGTCGCTTCTTGATAAGCATCACACTAAAAGAAGGCTAATCCATGCCCAAACATATGTTTTCATCCCTCTGCAACAAGTTGCTAACCCATGGCGCAAAACAAAAAACAAAGGGAGGCCCCTTACCGTAGATGGTTGCGAAATCCATGTCGCCATCACTTCGAAACCATATTTAAAAACCATGTGTTCTTTCTATTTACATCAAGAAATCGAATCATGCCCCTTCAGTTTTAATTCCTCGGTCAACTGACCTGTCAAAAATACCGGGGGTCTCAGGTCACCGTGCTTCCACCATGGAATTCCGATCTTCCGAGGATTTGCGCTCCGCCCCAACCCGCGGGACACCGCGCTTTTCTTTTCCTCGGTAGCAGTGCCTTCCGGCGGAAGCTCCGGGCCCCAGACGCCAAGTTGGCGCTGGGGAAGAGCTCGCTCCGGGGGTTCGGGTGAAATTTTGCGCGGGCGAAGCCGCGTAAGAACCGAAGAGATAGATTCGAATATGCAGAGAGCATAATATTTGCATGCATGCACATATGTAATTATGTGCATGTATGCACATGCGTGATTGTATGTAGCCGATGTGTACTAGCATATCAACCCCACCCGAAGAAATTCGAGTCACCGGGAGCATTTTCTTCCGGCGTTACGTCCTCCTGCACAGGAGGCCGTGCGTACGTGGATCGTGCATGGAAAATTCAGGACTGCTCCCTTGTGACATCTATATGAACATGTCCATGAATACAGGACGCTTGTTTGGACAGTCTTTCTGACTGAACTAAAATTCCCGTCTCTTGGGGCACCCACAGATTGGGTCTCAGATTGACCAAAAGACCAAAGTGGGCTTAGAGCCTCTTGAGTGGCATGGAAGAAAGGCTTGTCCAGCAGACCCACGCAAATTGCGGATGCTTGGAACATCCGTTTGCGTGGCATCTACGAAAGGAGACGTGATCCGGAGAAGCTGGTCGAGAATGTGATTCGCGCGCGAATCCCGAATCCCGAATCCCGAATCCCGGATCCGAGGATGGGGCCTTCCCAGTCCCGAATCCCGAGTCCTGAATCCCGAATCCCGAAAATGTGATTCGAGTCCCGAATCCCGAATTTCGAATCCCGAATCCCGAATCTGAGGATGGGGCCTTCCCAGTCCCGAATCCCGAATCCCGAATCTGAGGATGGGGCCTTCCCAGTCCCGAATCCCGAATCCCGAATCTGAGGATGGGGCCATCCCAGTCACGAATCCCGAATCCCGAATCCCGAAAATGTGATTCGAGTCCTGAATCCCGAATTTCGAATCCCGAATCCCGAATCTGAGGATGGGGCCTTCCCAGTCCCGAATCCCGAATCCCGAATCTGAGGATGGGGCCATCCCAGTCACGAATCCCGAATCCCGAATCCCGAATCCCGAATCTGAGGACGGGGCCATCCCAGTTACGAATCCCGAATCCCGAATCCCGAAAATGTGATTCGAGGCCCGAATCCCGAATCCCGAAAATGCGATTCAATCCCGACATGTGATTAAATCCCGAATCACGAAATTGGCAGCGACCTCCGGATCGCCACTCTACAAAAGGGAAAAAACAAAATCCAACTTGTGGTGTTTCACTCGTGTACCTTTCGTCTCCCTTCGAATACCTTTCGCTTACCTCACCTTCGCGGAATCCTTGGTGAATCTGCTGCGCGACCTTGAGTTCACCTCTGGACTCATTAGACAAAGAAGCTTCCCGACGGAAACTCATGTGGCACGCTTTTGCCGCTTCAAGAACGCACCCTGCGCTGACCCCCCAATTAGAAACACCAAATCTCCGCGCAGGGGCTCAAGAATGACCGGGAGGCGCTTGACAGGTGGGCTGGGAGACGTGGACATGTTTTTGTCTTATCGCTTCCAGGTGCACGTCTTTGGTGGAAGGGTGGGCAGAGGCTAACACATCCACCTAGAATCCACATGGAATCCACCGGGAATCCAGAAATCGAGTAGTTTTCGTTCCACCAATCCGAGAGCAGCCCTGAAGCCTTGCCCAGCAGATTCCCCAATCTGAAGATCAAGAGGAACCCCCTGGAAAGCTCAACCGAAGATGCAGCGATTGGTTTCAGCTCAGAAACCAGTCCTTTCCGACCCGACATGACCTTAAACATAAGCAACCAAAGACCTGCCAGAAAACAAATTGCAGAACTCCAGGGATGCCCTCTCGTTTTGGGGATCCGCTGGGCAAAGGTTCCCCTTTCTCCGCAAGCTCAGAGCTCCACTCCGTGCTTCTCCAAGCGCCTTCCTTCCAGGCGAAGGCACACAAGACCCCGCGCCCAGAAACCAAAAGGTGATCGCCTTTTCGGGAGCCACGAGCAGAAACCCAAGGGGAACTAAGAGGTGTCAACCCATGAAGAAACAAAAAGCTCAAGTCGGTGAGGGTGGATTCGCTTTGGAGGGAGGTGTTGCTTTCGGGTTTGCCAACCTGCAAGGGGTAAGTTTTTTTTGGAGCTTCAGGGCACACAACAAGGAAATCCGACGCAGGAGTTGGTAAGTCTGTGAACCAGGCAGGGAAAACCAAAGGAGCTGGTGGCTTAAACAAGGCATTGGGCCTTTGGGCTTGCAAGATCTGAAGGGAAAAATGCAAGGCAGCCGGCTGTCTCATCGCCATGAAACTCTTGCAATGCTGAAAATAATGTGCTTTCCATCCTTTTTCCATGATGTCCGGGGTGAGCGATTTTCATTTGTTTGGTGCTCCCACATGGCCTTGAAGCAAACTGTCCCCTCGTCAATGCTGTCAAAACCTGCGCCAGCGCAATATTTTCAGCCGTTGTAGCTCTCTGCGCTCGTCGACCATGTTTCAGCCAGATCAAGTCTTCTCCGGAACGCACATCCAGCGTCATTGCCACCACTTTACTGCATTCGGGAGCGTCTTGGGAAGGTTGCAGGCAGAGTTGGTGGAGTAAATGCCGAGACTGCACAGCGCACTCACAGAAGAAGTGTGTGGCCAAAAGCAAAACGACCCTGCGGGACCCAGATGCGTTGATGGGTCAGCACGCGAAGCCACAGCAAGTGTAAGACCGTAAGATGGACGCGGGATCTGCCAGAGCAGAGAAGCGAAGGGGGAAGCGATCTTCAATCAAAGCAACGCCCTGAACTAAAGAGTCAGCAGGTGAGTGGCAAGCGCGAAGATCCTCCAGATATGCCACCAATACGCCACCAAAACAGAGAACTGCCAGCGGATCAAAGTCGTGAAGCGAACGCAAGCCGAGCCGGAGAAGCAGGAGGAAGGACAAGCAAAGAGCGAGAGTCGCGCAAAGCATGCCGGTCCGACCGTCATCACTCCCCTCCCCCCAACATCCGCCAAACCGGGAGGATTGGCATGGGAACTTCTTGTTGCTTGGCACCAAACTGGCAACTCGGGAATGGGACTCGCGGTTTCTTCGCAAGAGATCTATGACCGATGCTCACGGGTCCCCGAAATGATCCCTATAGGTCATATGCGTCCCTATGTTCCAAAATCGGATGCAATTTAGCGCATTCGAGCAATCGATTCGAAGCCCGTGAAAAACAAGAAAGAAACAGATTCCCGCAATCCCACTCGGACTTCCTGAGACCAGTGGATTTCAAGGAGGGAAGAACGTCAGATTCTGCCTGGTATGGTCCTATCTATGAAAAGTTATTCCGGTTTCCCCATCCCTCTGACAAGGCTCCATCGATTCCTTTTGAACTCCAAGAGTAAGTTTTGTCTGGTTTGGAGACCCACCCCACTCCAAATCCGGAATCGGCATTCGGCTGCCCCCCAGCGGAGCGCCCAAAAAAAGTTAAGGATACACCGCATCAAGAGTCGCAAACGTCAAAACGTGGCCCTAAGGCCACGTGTGAAGCTTGCAACTTGGAAACCATTCAGGATGGCTGGGAGATGGGGGGGGAGTTTAGGGCGAGGGTAAGATTGACCCCGGATTAATAAACCCCTGTTTATTAATATCGTCCCTGCTTTGAGTGGGGATTTATCACTTTTGGAGGGGAACACCCCCATATTGATCAACAGGGGTTTATTAATCCGGGGTCAGCATTAAGGCTCCTGTCTGACCACATTACTATATTTTTTATAAACCTGACGGCAGGAATCTGTCCTGGTCTTCACATGTCTTGCCCCATGTGGAAAGCTCAGTGAGTCGTTTGCCTAGTTCTTCTTCGCCACGCGAAGCACGGGGAAACCAACTTGGCCCGCATCTCGCAATTTGATGTGTCCGTCGAAATGTTGGTAAGCATGACGGGACAGCTTTTACCCCATCCGGCCCGGCTACTGCAGCACTATCCAGAAGCTGCAAGGTGCGGAGTTGGAGCACATCTCTGTCTATCTGGATGTGCGAGGGCATGCAGCAACTGAGAGACGGTTCTCTGGCAGGCGTAAAAAAGCTTTTACTCAGGTTCCGTTGGATTGGTGAGTTGGATTGCGTTCAAGGAGTGGTTTCCCATTTACCCTCTGCAAGGACCTGGGGTACACAATCTGACGGGAGCATTGAAATGTTCGTCTGTTTTTTTGGAAATCAAGACACTTGTCCGCAGAAAACATGTCGTCTGAACCTGAAACATGGAGAAGGCCCAAGAGGAAGCCACCCCAACCCGCGCCTCAGACCGTGGTGCCCTCGTTCGTCTCCATCTCCATCTCCTTCCCTGGTGCTGCTGCCAAGGCGTAGGCCTGGGTGTGACAGCCCTTTTCGACAGAGAAAAATAAATAAAAACGTCATGGGTGTCCTCAAAAATCCCGTTCCTTCAACCCTTTGTTCCTTTTTGGCTGCCCAAAGCAACCCATGGAGCTGTGTTCTGTTCCTTCAATCCCCGTTCCGAAACACCGGTTTCTGGAAGCTCCATGGCATCTCAGCCCATTGACACACACCCAAACGACCATCCCCCACCCCAAAAGTGCCATCAGCATGGAGCTCCTAGTCACGTAGGAAACCAAAGGAAAGATGGGTGTGAGCCTATGCCAAGCCTTTGGCCAATCCGATTTTACACAGTCCCATATAGGGAAGCCACTAAGTACTAAGTGCACCAAATCTTTGCGGAACTCAAGATAAAGATCTTGCGGATTACCTTCAAACCGGCCAACCCTTTGAACATTTCTTCGATCGTGCCTTCGGCGGGGAGTGGTGGTGCGAGTCCATGCCAGCATCCTCCACCTGAACTATGTTAGGGCGTCAACGGGATTTCACCCCATATCCACCGAAGAAAAGGTGGAAACACCTTCCGTTTCAGGTCTACCTTCCGCCTGGTCGATTTGTTGTTGTTTAAAAAAAATGAAAAAAAGTGGGGGGGGGGGGGTATGTGGGGGGTTTTGGTGTGTGTGCGTGTGTGCGTGTGTGCGTGTGTGCGTGTGTGCGTGTGTGCGTGTGTGCGTGTGTGCGTGTGTGCGTGTGTGCGTGTGTGCGTGTGTGCGTATGTGCGTGTGTGCGTGTGTGCGTGTGTGCGTGTGTGCGTGTGTGCGTGTGTGCGTGTGTGCGTGTGCGTGTGTGCGTGTGTGCGTGTGTGCGTGTGTGCGTGTGTGCGTGTGTGTGCGTGTGTGCGTGTGTGCGTGTGTGCGTGTGTGCGTGTGTGCGTGTGTGCGTGTGTGCGTGTGTCGTGTGTGCGTGTGCATGCGTGCATGTGGTAATGCGCGTATGCGTGTATGCGTATGTGCGTGGTATGCGTGTGTGCGTGTCGTGTGTGCGTGTGTGCGTATGTGTGCGTATTGTGCGTGTATGCGTATGTGCGTGTGTGCGTGTGTGCGTGGTATGCGTATTGTGCGTGTACGTGTATGCGTTGTGCGTGTGTGGCGTGTGCGTGTGGGTAATGTGTTGCTCTTGGCTAATGAAGTGGTAATGCGTGCTGCGTGTGTCACGTGTGTCGTGTATCTGCGTGGCAATGCGTGTATGCGTGTGTGCGTGTATGTGTATGCGTGTGTGCGTGTGTGCGTGTAATGCGTGTGCGTGTATGCGTGTCCCAGCGTGTCACTGCGTGTTCGCAGCGTGTCGCGGTAATGTAATGGCGTGTGCGTGTGCGTGTGCGTGTGCGTGTGCGTGTGCGTGTGCGTGTGCGTGTTCGTGTGCGTGTGCGTGTGCGTGTGCGTGTGCGTGTGCGTGTGCGTGTGCGTGTGCGTGTGCGTGTGCGTGTGCGTGTGCGTGTGCGTGTGCGTGTGCGTGTGCGTGTGCGTGTGGGTGTGCGTGTGCGTGTGCGTGTGCGTGTGCGTATGCGTGTGCGTGTGCGTGTGCGTGTGCGTGTGCGTGTGCGTGTGCGTGTGCGTGTGCGTGTGCGTGTGGGTGTGGGTGTGGGTGTGTGTGTGTGTGTGGGTGTGGGTGTGGGTGTGGGTGTGCGTGTGCGTGTGCGTGTGCGTGTGCGTGTGCGTGTGCGTGTGCGTGTGCGTGTGCGTGTGCGTGTGCAGGTGCGTGTGTGTGTGTGTGTGTTGTGTTGTGTTGTGTTGTGTTGCGTTGTGTTGTGTTGCGTTGCGTTGTGTTGTTTTGTGTTGTGTTGTGTGTGTGTTCTTTTTTGTACTTTTTGGAGGGGGTGGGGGGCGGGGGCCCTCTGGTTGTGGTGTTGCGTCCTGGTCTGCGCTTTGGGCCCCGCTGCCGCTGCCGGCGGATTGTTGGCAACATCTCCTTCCCGAGACCCGAAACCCTGGCCACCATCGAACGGGACAGGTTCGAGCACCTAACTGGAGAGAGCCACATTGGGCCATGGTGTGGCTCTGTTTCTGGGGCGCCTTTTGGCTTCCCTGAAAATATGGCCACCAGAAAAGGGGGGCAGAAGAGTTGCACCAGGCAGGTCTGCCTTCTCTTCTTCCTTCTGGCTCCTTTTTGGTACCCGTTTGGTACTCTTTTAATATCCTGGAGGGGTGGCTCAATAAACAACAGCCACGTCCTAAACCGCTCGATTGAAGCTTGGTACAATTGCCCTCCCGTTTTCCCACAGTGAAGGGATCGGATCGGGGTCTATATCCAGAGCGGAACCTCTGCCGAACAGGAGGGCAAAAGGCATCGTCTCCCTTCATAGGTTTTGTCTCTTCCTAGGCTTTGTCGCCTTTTCCCCAAGACTTCGCTCCACCGAGGGTTTTCGCCCTTTCTTCATACACTTTGTCGCCATTTCCTCAAAAATCGACGTTTTTCACCCCAATTTGCCGCGGTCACCTCGGCTGCTGCTTCCCGACACCCCCCAAAGCGAACCTGGAGCGAGCCTCCTCGCTGATGCGCAGCATGCCTGTGAGCTTCAGCACCAAGAAGGCGATCGTGGACAGGGTGCCGGCCCAGAGCTCAGGCGCGCGGCCGGCGACCGCCGAGCGTCCGGAGAGGTCTTTGGGGCACTTGGGGCACTTGGGGCACTTGGGGCACTTGGGGCACTTGGGGCACTTGGGGCACTTGGGGCACTTGGGGCACTTGGGGCACTTGGGGCACTTGGGGCACTTGGGATGTGTGGAACATTGGCCGGGGGGGGGGGGGAAAAGGGAGGGCCCGTGTTCGAGCTTTCGGACTCCCGAACCATTCGGGCTCCTCCTTGCGCACCTTTTGAGTGCCTTCTCAATTGGAAGAAATTCCACATGAAACTTTGAGAACCGAACATGTTCACTTAAGCCCAGGCTTGCATCACTTCTCGACCCGTGGGAAGCTGCCGGAGCAACTTCCGGATTGAAGTGCAAGTTGCATGCGCCGAACTGACCCGACGCTTGGGGCGGGCCGGCAAAAGGGTCTTTGTGGGAGATCTTCCTCTTTGTTTTGTGGCCCCCGACCTTTTTTTGGCTGGCTATGATGTGAACCAAAGGACAAACAGGTCGAAAAACCGGTTTGGTGAGGAAAACTGGTAAGGCAAGAGCCGCTACGCACTGCAGATCAATAATGACCGGAATAGCTCTGTGAAGCCTGTTTAACGCAACCGCAGGCCGACTCCTAAGTGAGCTTCACACAGCGCTCAATCAAGGGATGCCAGACTTGTTGAACGCTCAGCCATTTACTTGCAGCTTTCTTGTGAGCATTCTGCTCCAAGGTGTAATTCTCTTTATGGATTTTGATTGACGTTGGAAGGGGAGCAAACATTTAACATTTAGCAGTTAAGTGGGGATTTCCCACTAAACCACAATAAGCAAACATGTAACATGTCTCCCAACAACAACCATGTATCCGTTTAGTCAAGCAGCCCACGAACATTGCCGCCCGATTTACCCAGCGGCGCGGCCGCTAGACGCTACTCAATGCCCATTCTGCCAAGGCGTCAACAAAAAGCATCTGCTTGAAAAAGGATGTGTGTCCTCTAAATCAGCTGAGCTGCTTTTGTAACTGTTCCAGTAGTGTTGTTTGTGTGTGTGTGTTTATGTTTGCGATTTTGTTGCTGTTCTTTTTGTGGGGGGAGGGGGGGGAGGGGGGCAGGGTTTCCTTCAAAATCACTCGGAAAACAAGGACTGCCCCTGTTTATCAGCTTCCCCCCGAATGGATGGTTTGCATATGTTTGCATTGTTGATCAAGAGGGTAGGGGGCCAAACCACCAATCCAAACGGATTGCGTGAGCTGAATCCGAACCACCAACTACCGGTGACCTGAGTCAGAATCAAAACCCGGTACTAAAATGGTCGACCCAAAACCATGTAAAGAATTTTAAGAAGGCGGCCGCAGCTACTTATGGTTGGGATTGTCCCTTACTAACCTTCATCTACCCTGGTTATCAGCAAGTGGCTCACCTGAGCTTCAGTAATACAGGGTCGAGGGGCGATGATCATGATGATCATGATGAACTGCGCGCCGATGGCAGTGCCGCCGATGCCCGTCTTGCAGCTGCTCTCGTCCGCGGTTTGCATGCAGCCCCAGCCGCTCCAGCCGTGGAAGTGGTCCACGCCCTGGACAACATGCAACTCCTCCATTTGCTTAAGTCCCCCGGAAAAAAACATAATGATTCCAGTAGCGACATCGATTCCCTTTAAAAACCAACAGGACATGGAACATGCAAAGTATTCACATGGAAGAACTGTGGCTGGGGGAAGGCCAACCCATTTGGTTTCTCACTTGAGCCACGAAACCAAAAATCGAGGTGAGTCTGCCTTCCCATTCATTTTCAACGGAGGTCGTTCCAATCGCCAAGCCAGAAGGAAACACGAAAGGTAGGCGAGCACAGCAGCAAACATAGTTTCAGCCAGTCATGGGCTGGTTTGAGTGTAAAGCAAAAAGCTCCAAAAAGGAGCCAACAAAGTCAAAAGGTACACATGGAAATGAGGCAGGGTGGGGGTGGGAGGAAACTTGGAGATGTCAAGGTTGAGAGCAAAGCAAGAAACACGTGCTCAATGCTTAACAGTCATGAAACTCGGACGAAATGGCACCATCTTGATAATGTTGAAGCCAGCAAGAAACGGGACATCCAACTACAACACGGCAACAAACAAATTTAAAAATTGGAACATCCAGAAATTTAGACTTAAAAAAAAGTCTGGTAAGCGATCTTCTGTGGTGGTCTCCCAATTCATGCGATGCTACAGCTTCCCTCAACATTTATCGACCTTTGGAAATGTGCATTTGTTTTAAACTGTTTTTGTTGCATGCCTCTTGGCATGTTACAGGTTCAATCCCCAACCCCAAATATGTCTATATATTATTATACACATGTTTCCATTCATGTTGTACCTCCACTTTCACCCCAACCGCACTGTTATGCTTTGGGCCTTTCATGCTTTCTGCCGCCATTCCGGCTGAGCAAGGCGGTGTTTTGAATCACCACCATGAGGCACCAAGCGGAACACCACTGGACAGCCAAAGCACCACTGGAACACCGCCGGGACTGTGCCAGAACAAAACCGGCACTCCCTCGGAGCACCACCAAAAAACGCGGGACACCACCAAAGCACCACTCGAACACCACCGAGAAACATCAGGACAAGAACGGGACCACCCAACACAACCGAAACACCATCAAAACACGTTTGAAAATACTATCCAAAACTACAGCAAGGACACCAGCAAAACAGCGCCAAAAACACAAACGGAACACCGCTGGGATACCACCAACAACACCGCTAAAACATGCATACAACAACACAAGTTTAAACAGGGATCCTTACATTATACACCTGAACATTGCCTTGTAAATGGTGGTTTCCCTGTATTTTGGTGGAAAAAGCCATGTTTCAAATGGGCAGAGCGTATCTTTTAAGGAGCCCTGTTAAAACAAAAGCAAATGTCCAAACTTTGAAGATCAATCAATTTTGAGGGAAGCTGTAGCATCGCAAGACTTGGAAGACCACAAAAAAATGCTACGAAACCCTCAGAACCCCAAAAACAATTAGTTTGCAAGGATGCCCCTTGTTTTGAACCAACATGCTGGCAGGAAGTATGAAAGTCAAAACGAACTTGAAGCGTGTGAGGGAGTAAAGTGGTCGGGGTTGGGGATGAAAGTTAGCAATGGGAAGGGAAGGTGCATCCATATCCAACCAGGGCACGGCCAAAAAATTGCCCATTTCGTCAGTTTAAGTCGAGGAATTCCAGCCCATTCAGAGGGACACCATCCACCCTAAGGGTCATGGATTTTGGGGCCTCAAAACATGTCCCTTTGACACTTTTCAACTCGGGGTGTGGTACGGGGACCCGCGAATTCTGCATAGCCCAGGAGCTTGGGGCAAAGCATCCCCAAGGACCCAACCCTCAAAACACCTCCACGCAATGGGTCTCTCCGCATTTTTCGGCCAACGCCCAGCGCGATACTGCCAAAACACCACCGGCCACAAAGGGAACGCCACCAAAACACGACTGGAACACCGCAACACCGTAACAGCATCAAGCCACCAGAAACAGCAACACACCACCTTGGGACACTTTGGGACACCACAAGAGAACACTGCCACAAAAAGACACCGACACCACCCGAAAAGCCTCGAAAACACCACCGGAACACTACTCAAAAACGACCAAAACGCAACCCACCCCTGGAACACCACCAAAACACCAGCTGGGTGTGTGGCTCGAAATGAAAAGACCCGGGGTTACGCAGGTTTTTGGTCTTTGGTTCCATTTACCAAGCTGCCGTTTTGGATTTGCAGGGGAATTGACGGCCTTTTGGTTGGGTTTGTTGGGGCTGGCTGGGTGGCTTGGCGGGCCTGCTGCTGTGTGTGTGGCGTCCGCACGTGCGGGCCGGCGGGGAGGGGGGGGGGGGGCTTGACCAACAAATGGGGCCATGAGAAAGCCCACTTGGTATGTGTATACATACGCATATATATATATATAAATATTGTCCACCATTCAAGAATGCATGACTCGTGGAACCCCTCTATGATTAAAGCGGTCTCGCTACGTCTTATTTTCATGAAACATTGATCTTCCAGGACCCTGAAACAGCAGGCCTTTGGCTGATTCTCGTTTCTCAACCAACAGCAAAATCATGACTCTGTTTTTGCGGAAGACCAAGATGGTAGAACCTAAAGTCGAGGAATGGGGTTGGGCGCTGAGAAGCCCATCCGAAAACATTTCTCGCCTTGCCCCAGTCGAAGAGGCCGCAAGCAATGCAACCCCACATGCCGCAGAAGCCGTGCACCGGCGCGGCGTCCACGGGGTCGTCGATCTTCAGCTTCTGGAGCAGCATGGAGGCTCCCTGGACGATGGGGGCTTGCGGGCAGGGGGTCTGGACAAATGGCGGTTCTGCAGGAACCCACGGATACCCGATCCGTCAGGCATCCCATGTTGACCTGCTACTTCTTACACCAGGGTGGAAGTAGAGTGCGCGTGCCGAAACACAAACAGGAGTCGGAAGTCGCGTGTCCCGGCTTACTCAACTAGAGGCATTTGTGGGACATTTGTGAGATACAAGCATGTCTGACTGTGTGTTTCATATTTCCTGTACTTTAACACATATATATATAATATATCCGCCGACATTATGGAGGCGTGTCGGATACTTAAGAGAGGATAGAGGATAAACCCCCCGCCCAACGTCAAACACGTAGGGTTTTGGGGGGAGGAGGCCCCGCTCACAAAACAGGGGTCCCAGGCTCGAATCCCCCTGCCGGCTCTTTGCTGGTTTGGGTTTCCTGCCTCCTTTTGCCGAAAATCTGGAAAAACTCTGTATTGTTTGACGTCCTCTTTGCGAAAACGCTGGGAAAACCGTGTTTTTGTGGGAAATACTGGGGAGCAAAGGGAAAATGCAAGGAAGTGCAAGGAAATGAGGGGAGGAAATAGGAAGTCGACATGACCTGAAAACAAGGGAAAATGAAAGGGAAACAAAGGGGAACTGCAAGGGACATGAAAAGGACAGAAATGAAAACAAGGGGAGTGCAGGGGGAATGAAAGGGAAACAAAGGACAAGGAAACCAATCGGCACGACGGGAGATGTAGGGAAATGACTGGCAACGAAAGACCGGGACATACATGGAAGATGAAGCGGACATACCAAGGAAATGACAGGGACATGAAGGGGGAGTTGCAAGGAATGGAAGGGACATGACCAGGACATCATGGGAAACGTGAAAAGGACATGAAGGGGAAATCAAGGGGAAAGCCAGTGGTCAGCAGACAGTTCAGGGTCATGAAGGGGCAGTGCCCGGACATCGAGGCAACTCAGGGGGAACGTGACGCTGCAATGCAAAAAAAGAGACAGAGAGAGAGAGAGAGAGAGAGAGAGACACAGACAGACAGAGAGAGAGAGCGAGAGAGACAGAAGAGAGAAAGAGAGAGAGAGAGAGAGAGACTGGAGAGGATAGAATAAGAGTACACTTTTTTCGTAGAGGGGCGTGGACAGGAAGGAGACAGGGAGACAGAAAGAGACAGAGAGAGAGAGAGAGGGAGATTGAGGAGAGAGAGGCTTGGGGAGATGGGGAGGATGGGGAGCAGAGGGAGGGAGAGAGGACAGAACACACCAAAAAAGGAGACACGAGAGAGAGGAAGAAGGAGAAAAGGGAGAGGACAACGTCGGCGGACTGAGCCGGAGGCTCTAAAGTGTGTATATATATATATATACACATGCGTTTGAAACGTTGGGATAGCGCTCGCAATTGACGGACATTGGCCATGCCCCCTGCGTCCGGGGACCCGTGGCCACTCGACTAACATGTCTCGTGCGAGGCAACCGCCGGCCTGGTACACGAAGGCGCCCACCAACCTAGAAGCAACTCGAGAAATCGGGGGTGAGGAGCGGGGCAGCGTGGAGGAGCGTGGAGGAGCGTGGAGGAGCGTGGAGGAGCGTGGACAAGCGTGGACAAGTGTGGGAATTGCGTGAAAGAGCTTGGAGTTGTGTAGTAGTTGTGGAGAAGGGTGGAGGATTGCGGAAAGCGTGAAGTGGAGAGTGGAGCGTGGAGTGGATCTGGAGGGTGGAGTGGAGATGGAGTTGGAGTTGGAGTTGTGTCTAGAGTGGAGCGGAGCAGTAGTGGAGTGGTAGTGGAGCGGTACTGGAGTGGTAGTGGAGTGGTAGTGGGGTGGTAGTGGAGTGGAGTGGAGCGGGGTGGAGTGTGAAGTGGAGGTGGAGGTGGAGGTGGAGGTGGAGGTGGAGGTGGAGGTGGAGGTGGAGGTGGAGGTGGTGGAGGTGGAGGTGGTGGTGGATTTGGAGGTGGAGTGTGGAGTGGAGTACGGAGTGGAGTGTGGAGGAGTGTGGTGGGTGGAGTGGAGTGTTAAGGGTGGAGGAGTGGAGGAGTGCGAGTGCGGAGGGTGATGGAGTGTGATGAAGTGGTGAGGTGTGGTGGAGTGCGGAGGACTTTGGCGTGGAGAGCTCAGGGGAGGAAAGTGGAGTGATTCGGGTTGGAGCTGGATTGGGGTTGGTCCCTTCAAGAGAAAATCGATCTCAGAGGTGCCATATTTCAGATGCTAGTTTTAGTGCGGGGTTCAAGCCAGGGTTCCTTGAAGGATGCATCCAAAAGCCACCCGCTAAACCAAGAACATGCTCAACATCAGCTGGCACAAGCTGACTTTCCGGGCCAACACCACGATGCTTGCGGCAAGACGCCCCGTGGCGAAGGCGGAGCCGCACTCCATATTGCCGCAGCCCGCAGTGATGGAGACCTTCAGATCGTTTTTGAACCCCCCACCTGGTCACCTTCCCGAAGGCGAAGTCAGAGGAATCCAAAGACATTGGGGGCGCTTCCTTGGTGTTCGGCTCCTTTGTTTGTCCTACCGCTCGAAAAAATTGGATTGTCTCCGGTGTCTCGGGGGAAAAAAATGCCCGGCGGCCCGGTGGTCTTACAAATGGGAGAACCTACAACCATCTCCGAAGCGGTCAAATTCCCTTCCAGCCAAAGGGGCTGAACCAGCGACTCCAAAAACATCCATCAGCTCACCCCCCCCTTTTGCTGCCAGTTGGGCGCCCTTTGGCACTTCTGCAGGCAAGGTTCCATGGCCAGCCGCCAAAAAGTGATGCGTCTCGACCTATTGTACGGAAACAGCCCATTTCTCAAACAGTCCGCAGGTGAAAGACTGGGTCACAACAACCCCAGTCTCTCACAAGCGATCAAGCCAACGACCTGTTTCGCCACTTCGGAGATGACTTGAGGCGCGTTGGGAAAAACCAGCGAGCCCTTCGGAAAGAAGACGTCCATTGTTGGGTGGCAACCACCCACATGAAACTTATAAGTCGATTCTACTGAACTGGGACTGAGTGGAAGAAGCTGCAGCAAAATGCCGAGGTTCATCTCCCCCAAATGCAACACATGGTAGATAAGCGACCATATCTTCTTGTTGAACCGGTTGGCGCCCAGTAAAACGAAAGTGAGAGGATACATCGCCTACTTCGTTGTTGTCTTTTGGGGGGGAGCGTCATATCCAGGGTCCCTGGAAACCACAAGAAAGCCAACTTGCAGGTGTTCCCACATGGGTGTGATTTTTTTTTGGAGTCGGTACCTCCTATTGTGTGGTTGTAAAGGGAACCAATAGAAAACTATTTTGCATTTGGGGGGGTCCGATTCCCAAAAAACAACACAGCCCCACGTGAGTCATAATCAAAACCCGGTATTAAAATGGTTTACCCAGAACCATGTAAAGAACTCAGAAGGCGGCCGCAGCTATTTATGGTTGGGATTGTCCCTTACTAACCTTCATCTACCCAGGTTTTGATTGCGGCTCACATGTTGGTGTTGTTCTTCCGGCCCATTGGAATCAATTCGTCTCCGACCCAACTTCCGCAGCTTGGCCGCCAGTCCGGCGAGAATGCCGTTGCACAAGCCCCCCACGTCGTATTTCCTCGCCGAACGCCGTCCGCCCCGAAGGGAGGTGGAAAAGAACGGCGGAAGGAAACCCAAACTAAATGGGATATGGGGGGTGGCTTTTGTATCCCCCCCCCCAAAAAAAAAAATGCATCGATTTCCCTGGTGGTTTCCCTTTAGACCCACAAAAAGGGGGGCACAATGTCCTGAGGATGGCGAAGCGCAGGATGAAGACCGTGATGCCGCCCGTCGCCGCAGCCAGGGTGGTGTTCATGGCCACCTGTGCGGCCAGCGCGCCTGTGGCCCCGTCGTGCATGCCCAGGGTGGAGCCTGGGTTGAAGCCGTACCAGCCGAACCACAGCGCAAAGGTGCCCAGCACGACCAGCGGCAGGTTGTGAGGCTCAAACTCCTCTGGATTCACAAAGCGCCCCTTCCTGGGCCCCAGCACGATGGTGCCGGCCAGGCCGCTGACGCCGCCCGTGAGGTGGACAACACCGGAGCCAGCAAAGTCCATGTAGCCCACGTCCAAGACGCTGGCAATCCAGCCCCCACCCCAGGTCCATGCCACCACCACGGGGTAGATGAAGCTTGTCATGAAGAAGGCGTAGGCGGCATAGGTGGGGCTCTTCACACGCTCCGCGACTGCTCCGCTCACAATGGTGGCGCCTGCTGTGCAGAAGGCCCACTGGAAGAACCAGCTCAGCATGGTGCTCTGGCAGCCTTCCCCGTTGCAGGTGACTGGCGTGATCACCCCGGTGGTGGCATCTTGGCTGTAGAAATCCCAGCCGAAGAAGCCGGTGGTGCCGATAAAGCCATTGCCGTTCTGCGCGCCGTAGGCAAAGGCCCATCCCAAGCTCCACCAGCCCAAGGTGCCCACACACACGTTGACCAAGTTCTTCATGAGCACGTTGGACGCGTTCTTGGCGCGGCAGCAGCCTGTCTCCAGCATTGCGAAGCCGGCGTGCATAAACATCACCTCGGCGGCTTGACATTTGTGCCATATCTATGGGTCATGGTCATAATTCCCTCCTTCCTCGTCAACCAACCCCACGTGAAGGGGTCTTTGGGGTTGCTCTTCCTTCTGCAGGGAAAATATGTGATCTCCAACTGAAGCGGACCGCTTGCAGATCGCAAGCGGGGGTTAGAACCACGCGAATCAAGCCTGGGTACATCCCAAAAGATCCCCCCCAATCTCAGCAGAGCTGGCTAAATTTTGAGAGATGGGTGTCCCCTTGAAGTGGGTTTATCACTTTGGGAGGGAACATTGACATATAAAACATCCCATGTGCGGCGGATCTCTTGCAGAAACCTGGGACTACGCAAAGTTGCCGGATTTACCCGACACATACGGGTCCAGCTAAGGGGGGTGGTCATTCAAGTTGGTCAGGGTCACGACGTGGCAGGGTTGAGGGGCACATGGGCTGCCTTCTCCTCGGCAATAAGATCCGGATCGTTGCCCCGCAGGTTGAAGGCACAGCATTTGAGAAGCAAAACGGACTGAAGAAAAGCTCCAAAAACAGGCTTGTCTCCTTCATGTAAGGTGCAAAATTGAGTAGCTTATGTGAGCGACACATAGTTACAATCAGTCCATGTATGTCCCTGTATACAGCAAGTCCCCTTTATTGGGAAGAGGACACATCGGGTCCATCAGCATGATGTTGTTCATCGACTTTGAGAAGAAAATGCCATCTCAATGCCATGTTCGAGAGTGAAGGCCCCGGGGATTCGGGGTGAATCAACCTAACACCTGGCATTAATCAAAGGAAGTTTCGAAGGAACTTTCGTAGTACGGACACTCAATGCACTTTTCCATCACCGAAGCATTTGGTGGCCGTCTCGCTACTCTGCTGAAACTTCCCTAAGGCTGCAGATTTCTTAAATTTACGAAATCCATAGATTTAAGAAAATCGATGAGTTTACGTAAATTTCTACTTAAACGCAAAATTTACGTCAATGTTTAAGAAGGCCTTAATCTGTCGAGGAGGCCTGAAAAGTGCATAAAACGCGCATCAGGAATGCATAGGAATTGCATAGAAAATGCACAGAGCATGCATAAGAAACGCATAAGAAATGCATGGAAATTCATGGAAAACTCATAAATTCATAGCAAATTCATAGACACAAGTAAGTGATTCAGAATGCGAGACTTACTTACCTGTGCATTCACACTGACACAAGTAAGTGATTCAGGTAGCAAGATGTACTTACATGTGCATTCACTCTGACACAGGTATAGATACAGAAGCAAATTCGTCAAAATAAAACTGATAAAAATTATATGGCTAGTCCAAGCTCTTGGGAAGAACACTGCATGAAGTTTCTGTGGTTCTTCTTTTCTGGCCTGTTTGGTTGTTGCTGGCTTTTTCCCCGGGCTGCCAGATTTGCTCACCTGAGCACTCTTACTGACACAAGTAGTGATTCAGGCTGCGAGATTTACTTACAAGTGCATTCACACTGAAGCAAGTATAGATTCAGAAGCAAATTCATCAAAATAAAAAAGTTAAAGATTATATAGCTACTCCATGGTTATTTTTGTTGCCTGCTGTTGTTGCTGGCTTTTTCCCATGAAACTATAATGAACTTTCCACAGGCACTTTCCTAGAAAGAGCCCACTATTTCCCATGAAGTTTCCATGGCTGTGCTTTTTCGACCTGCTGGGTTGTTGCTGGCTTTTTCCCATGAATTTCCCATGAACTTTCCACAGACACTTTCCTAGAAAGAGTCCACTATGTTCCATGAAGTGTCCATGCATGTTCCATGAAGTGTTCATGGATGTGATTTGTTTCACCTTGTTGCTGACTTTTTCCCATGAATCTCCCATGAACTTTCCACAGGCACTTTCCTAGAAAGATTCCACTCTGTTCCATGAAGTTTCCATGCATGTCCCATGAAGTGTTCATGGATGTGTGTTTTCACCTGCTGGCGTGTTGCTGGCTTTTTCCCATGAAATTCCCATAAGCTTTCCACAGGCACTTTCCTTGAAAGAGTCCACTGTTTTCCATGAAGTGTCCATGCATTGTCCATGATTTTTCTATGCATTTTCTATGCATGTCGTATGCATTTCTTACGCAATGTTATGCACTTTTTATGCACTTTATATGCACTTTACATTCCTATGCATTTATTATGCATTTATTATGCACTTTTGCTTGGTTTCTAGGTATTTTCTATGCACTTCTAAAAGTGCATAAAAAGTGCATAAAAGGTGCATAAGAAATGCATAAGAAATGCATAGAAAGTGCATAAGAAATGAAGAGATAATGCATAAGAAATGCATGGAACATTCATGAACACTTCATGGAACATGCATGGAAACTTCATGGAAAACAGTGGACTCTTTCTAGGAAAGTGCCTGTGACAAGTTCATGGGCATTTCATGGCAACAAGCCAGCAACAAGCCAGCAGGCGAAAAAACAACAAAAAACACATCCATGAACACTTCATGGACAATGCATGGAAACTGCATGGCAAACAGTGGAATCGTTCTAGGAAAGTGACTGTGGAAAGTTAATGGGAAAAAGCCAGCAACAACCCAGCAGCTCAAAAAAACACAAACAACCTTGAAAACTTCATGGAACATACATGGACACTTGTTGCAAAATCGTGGAAACTGTCGTGGAAAGTTCATGTGGGAAGTTCATGGGAATTTCATGGAAAAACCCAGCAGGTCCATGGAAACTTGATGGACAAGAGTGGAGAGTGGACACTTTCTAGGAAAGTGTCTGTGGACAGTTCATGGGAATTTCATGGAAGCTTCATGGAAAATGCATGGAAACTTGATGCAAAACCGTGGGAACTGTCTTGGAAAGTTCATGTAGGAAGTTCATAGGAGTTTCATGGAAACAAGCCAGCAACAACCCAGCAGGTCAAAAAAAAACAACTACCATGGAAACGTGATGGAACATGCATGGAAACTTGATGCAAAATCGTGGAAACTGTCTTGGAAAGTTCATGTAGGAAGTTCATGGGAATTTCATCGAAAAAGGCCAGCAACAACCCAGCAGGTCAAAAAAACAACAACCATGGAAACTTCATGGAACATGCATGGAAATTTCATGGAAAATCCCGCTGGAAAGTTCATGGGAATTTCACGGGAAAAAGCCAGCAACAACAGCCGGTCAAACAAAACAACCATGGACACTTCATGCACTGTTCTTCTGAAGAGCTTGAAGTAGTCATATAATATTAAAAAGTTTTAGTTTGATGTATTTGCTTCTGAACCTACATCAGAACTACATGATACAGATGTATACATTTAATCAACACACTTCTCACTTGTTAGCTTGTGTTACAGACTGGGACTGTCTTGATTTTACTTAAATCCGCCCATGTTTTCCGCATTTTTTGCACAGATCTAGGTTTCATATTAGTGCCTGCCCGCCTGCCTGCGATGGAGACCAGCTCTCCCAGCAAAAAGTCTGATGCGCCGAAGATGACCAGACAAATGGAACAAAGCCAACTTACAAATGACAAACTGCTTAAAAAGAAGGCTTTTTCCTTACAAAACAAGTGCTCTTATTTTTGAAGTAGTTCTTAAATGTGATTGAAGTAGTTCTTAAAAAAGGTGTGTAAATTTTAAGAAGAACATTCTTCTTAAATATTTACGTAAAACGAAAAAATTACGTAAATCCTTCGCTTCTTAAATTTAAGAAATCTGCAGCATCTGACCGCAGAGACTGGAAGACACAGAAAGACAAGCGGGAGACACGACGGCGTCACAGCATGTGGCATCAAGCGGGACACACGACCCTGGAGCCAGCGTCACAGCATCTGGCATCTGACCGCAAAGACTGGGAGACACAGGGAGACAAGCGGGAGACACGACCCCGGAGCCAACCGCGGAGACGGGAGACACGACCCCGGAGCCGGCGTCACGGCATCTGGCATCTGACCGCAGAGACTGGGAGATACAGGGAGACAAGCCGGAGACACAGGGAGACAAGCGGGAGACACGACCCCGGAGCCGGTGACCGCAGAGACTGGGAGCACAGGGAGACAAGCGAAAAAACGACCCTGGGTCACAGCATCTGGCATCTGACCGCAGAGACTGGGAGACAGGGAGACAAGCGGGAGACACGACCCCGGAGCCAACCACGGAGACAAGCGGAGCCGGCGTCACAGCATCTGGCATCTGGCATCTGATCGCAGAGACTGGGAGACACAGGGAGACTGGGAGACACAGGGAAGCAAGCGGGGAAACGACCCTGGAGCCAGCGTCACAGCATCTGGCATCTGACCGCCGGAAGACACGACCCCGGACCCAACCGCGGAGACTGGAGATACAGGGAGACAAGCGGGAGACCCTGGAGCCGGCGTCACAGCATCTGGCATCTGACCGCAGAGACTGGGAGACACAGGTGGCATCCGACCGGAGAGACTGGGAGACAGGAAGACAAGCGGAAAACAGGACCCCGGAACCGGCATCACACTTTCCCATTCTCTGTACCTCAAGTTAGAACCCCAATGCTTCGCTGTTAGGGGACAAACAACCCCACCCATCCGTCCAAGCGAGCCTGAGCACCCCAGCCCGACCACCCCGCCCCACCCAATTTGAAGAAACATCCAACCCACCCGACCAGCCCGCCCAACCAGCCCAATCCGACCAAACCCAAAACTCCGAGACGCCAATCCCCAATCCGACCCACCCAACCCACCCAATTCCCGCCCAATCCGAAAACCTAAAACTGCGAGGTGCCAGCGCCCCGCAGAGGCACAGCCACGCGCTGTCCAGCGCCCCCGCCAAGCCCTGGTCCATCGCCTGCAGCTCTGCCACCTGGGCTGCCCAGTGGATTTCCATGGGAAAAAAAGGGCATCCGATTTGTTTGTTGGTTGAGGAAAAAAGGGGAACCCTTCCCCAAAATAAAGGAGACAAAAGGGCGCCGCTTGGCAACTGGGTTAGGGAATCAGAGGCTTGGAGCCCCAGAAAGGTTTTCCAAGCGAATGCTTGGCGTCCAGAAAAGGCGGTGTTTCTTTTCTTTGAGAAGCGACACCCGGGGAATATGCAACCAAACCCCGGTGGAAGGCCATTGCTCGTGGTTCGGGACTTTGCCCAAAGATCTTGCATGCCCCTCCCTTGCTGTTGCTTCGCGCGAGTTCAAATGCCCAGTGGCCACGGGGAAAAAGGGCATCCTTCTTTGTTGGTTGGTTAAGTGTAAAGGGAACCCTGCCCAACAAAAGGAGGAAAACAAGCGCACCACGCCTCTGGGAGGCCCCAATAAAAGCACGTCAGGTTGGGAAACCTTTGGCTCGAGGTGTCCTTCTGCCCGGCATTTGGCCATTTGTTCGAAAGCGGAACCCCAACCTCCAAAAAGGCGCCTGGCGGAGGAGGAAGAAAAAAAACGGCGCCCGGGTGCCGAGGACCAAAACAGAAAAGGACTTGCAGGTTGCTTGGGCAGCCTTGGGCCCTGGCCCTTGAGGGGGGGGATGGGTCTTGAGGGGGAGGGGGGGGATCGGGCATTTGATGGGTGGTTTGAACGTGTGAAGGGACACCAAAAGGCAAACCAAGGTCCGATTCCATTTTTTTGAGAAACACTCAAACGGGGAAACACAACAAGAATCCTTCAAGTGGGTTAAAGGCTCAGTTTTTGGTCAACTCGGGAATTGACTTCAGTAAAGAAAGACGGCTAATCCCCCAAAACACCGGGGAACTTTCCGCAGGTCTGGAAAGTCCGGAAAATCCGAGCGCCCCGACCGTCGTATCGAACTCTGTTTGGTTCACCTTGCGACGCGGATCGATCCCCAACCGTGTCTGAGCCTGTGGGCGGGCTCCTGGACATCCCTACCTCATGCATGGATGGTCCCCAAAAAAAGGCGCCCATCTTTGCTGGAGGGTTTGGGGGGTAAAAAGGGGTCTAAGTACCTCCTTAGAAGGTACTTGAAGCCTCTGGGTGAGAGGCTCCCTGACAAACTAAGAGAAACACTCCCGAAACCTCCGGGGCGCTTCACCCAGTCCCTTCGGCTTGAGACACGCCGCTGTGAGATGGGCTGAACAAGTCGGTTCTCGAGTAATCAGTTGGGCAAGGTGCTGGGACGCCTCTGTACACACAAATGTACGTATGGATGTATGTATGTAATGTGATGTACTGTAAGGTATGGTAGTTCGCCGCAACCCAACGTAACGTGACGTGA